AACTACTACCTATGATGATATGAAAATTAAGAAGAGTTTATAACAGGAATTCAATGATTGTTCTACATTATAAAATCTATTCATGAACTTCTCTACATTAAGTAAATTAAAGGGGAAAATACCATGTAACTATCATGACATATTAAAGTAGCAGCAAAGAGCAAAGTTTCTTGATTCTTGTAGTGCTAGCCTAAAGTTCCACCTTTGTGCCTATTCATTGTATGACTTTGGGCAACTTACTTAATCTAAATTTCATTTCCTCATTAGTAGAATGAAAGGTTTTTTGTGTTTTTTTTTTTCTTTTTTTGGTGGAGGTAGCAGCAAGCTATGCCATGCGACAGGTGGGATCTTAGTTGCCAGACCAGGGATTGAACCCAAGCCCTCTTCAGTCAAAGAGTAGAGTCCTAGCCACTGGACCACCAGGGAAGTTCCTAGAATGAGAGTTTTTATTGGAGATTAAATGAGATAATCCTACTAAAATATTTGAATCCCTCCCCCCAAAATAAAAATTATGATGAGAACATTTTTATTAAAGAGAGGAATGACTATGTCATCCTTAGTAAGGTTTTCATTTTCCCCTTCTCTTATTTCCTTTTGACATTGTTTTCCAGACATCTTTTTTTTTTAACATCTATTTGTTTATTTGACTGCCCCGGGTCTTAGTTGCATCATACAGAATCTCTGTTCTGTGTGTGGGATCTTTAGTTGCACCACGTGGGAACAAGTTCTCTGGCCAGGGATCGAACCCTGGCCCCTGCATTGGGAGTGCAGAGTCTTAGTCACTGAGCCACCGGGGAAGTTCCCTGTTTTCCAGACATCTTGAAGACAAACTATCACTGTTGAGTCTTTGTTTTCCTAATCATCTTCTTTCTCTTTTCTATTAGGAAAAACCTCCTCCTCTGCCCTTTTGCATAAACACTAGATTACTAAAAATTAAGATCTGGTCCTGAATCAGTCAAGTGGTTAAATGACTGGGTGAGAATGTGTGGAGGAACAGTAGTGAAAGCCATTGGAAGGGCTCCCCAGCGACTAAATCAGAAGTCAGAGAAGCCTGCTAAGAGCTTTCAAAAGAGCATAATCCGGAACTGCCGACACAGTACGTGGCCTCCTTGTCTTTCTTTCTCTTTTTCCCTTCTGTGAGTATTTTCTATGTTCCAGAGGTCCTGTGAATTCAACCCCCAAACAATTGGTAGAAAGATCCCTCATAAAGATAAGAATTGACTCCATTTTTCTCTTCCGTTTCCACTGCTGACCCAACTATTGTTTGTTAACCATGGATCCTCCTTTACTGTCCAGAACTTCATACTGCTGTCTCTCTATTAACTGGAACAATGTACCAGCTAGTATAGAGATGGGAAGATGAATTAACATGCATAGGACATCAGACTGAATACATCTGTTTGTATCCAGAGCAGCAATTAGCTACACCAGTTTATCAGCATCCACACCTGATTAATCTTCTGCTTGATGGTAAACGTCGGGAGATAACTGTGGGCATGGCTCAGACAGGAAAGAGTCGCCTGCAATGCAGGAGACCAGGGTTTTATCCTTGGGTGGGGAAGACACCCTGGAGGAGAATGGCAACCCACTCCAGTATTCTTGCCTGGAAAACCCCATGGACCGAGGAGCCTGGTGGACTGCAGTCCATGGGGTCACAAAGAGTCGGACACGACTGAGCACAAAGCACACAGACACAGCTGTGGTCACACAAAATGAAGTTCTTCCTTTTAGAATTCTACCTGGTCCACTGACCTTTTCTTCCTTAGATTAAGTAGGATTATGAGCTAAAGGAAACTCGGTGACTATGTGACATTGAAATTTTAAACAATTTGAACCTGATTCAACAGTTATGTATTAATAGCATCCAAGACAATTGATAATAAAGCAACTTAAACAGTGGCTTGAATGTGAAAATATATGTAAGTAGAAAGAAGAAAGGAGAGGAGATAAAGAAAAAATTGAGAGAAGGAAAGAGTAAATATTTGTGAAGTAAGGTGGAAACTAAAGGTTTTATGGAAAGTGAGCCACTCTCAAGCTTCCACAAATCTGCCTAAAACACAATCTACAATGCCAGAATCTACAAGGAATTATTGACACATCTACAAGAAATAATATCCAGATACTATGCCAGCCACCTTCCCTTGGATCTATATATTATTCATAAACTGAATCTTCATGGCAGAGAAAAAATAGTCTTTTGCCATTTATTAAACAATAGGAAAATATAGACTTACAAATTCATAAATATTTATAAACATAGAAATTAGGAGGTTGGGATTAACATACACACACTGGTATATATAAAATAATCAACAGAGAACTCGCCTCAGTTCTCTATAATAAACTATATGGGAAAAAGATCTGAAAAAGAATAGATCTATGTGTAACTAAATCACTTGGCTGTACACCTGAAACTAACACAACATTGTTAGTCAACTATACTCCCAATATAAAATTTTAAAAATTTAAATATGATAAAAATAAAAGATAATAACAAAAAAACAGATATGTGACAGGGAGGAAGGATACCAACTATTACATTTCTTCTGCAGAACAGCCTAGCAATAGGTATCTAAAGCCTTCAAAATATTTATATTGTTTGACCTAGTTCTAAACCTTGAAGACATTAAGCTAAGTGAAATAAACCAATCACAAAAGGACAAATACTATATAACTCTATCTATCTGAGGTACCCATAGCAGTCATATTCATAGAGATAGAAAGTAGAACTGTGGTTGCCAGGGCTGGGGGAGGAAAGAATGACGGGTTATCTAATGTACAAAGTTTCACTTTGAGAAGATGAAAAACTTCTAGAGAAGGATGGTGACAGTTGCACAACAACATGAACTTACTTAATACCATTGAACTGTGTACTTGTTAAAATGGTAAATTTTATTTTATACATATTTTGCCACAATTTAAAAATGCTTGTGAATATTTAGAAACAGGAAAAACAGTCAACATGGGAGAACTAGTATCAAATATTCTTCAGATTGTCTGCAAAAATCATTGTAAGCCCATGTAAGAAAGAAGACATCAGAAGGGTATTCCAAAGCAGAAAATGCTAGTAGACATCATTTCCAGGTGAGATTATGAGTGACTTTCTTTTTCATATTTATCTGTATGTTCTAAGTGTTCTAAATAAATATACACTATATTTATAACTAGAAAAAGAAATTAAAAGCCCACCCCATACATCTCTATACTCTTACCCTGCTTCATTATTATAGTAATGGCACTAATTACTTCCTGAAAGTATATTGTATATTTATTTGCTTCCTTGCCATAGTTTGTTTCCCCAGCTATGATGTAAGTTCTAAAAGATCAGAGGTGCCTGTGTCCTTAATTCTTGAAAAGTTTTAGGCACTTAATGAACACTCCATAAATATTTTAGTGAAGGAGAATAAGTCAATGAATGAATGAATGAGGGAAAGAACAGAAAAACAGTCACCCTCAAGTATGGACAGTGGCATTCCTTTGTACTGTGCCCCTAGACCAAGCTTCTGGGGGTAGTGACCCTCTTCCTCCCATTTGTAACTTCCTCATGATTGGAGGAAGGGCTTTCTCCAGATTAAGCATCATCAGAATGAAATAAAACCTGAAATGTGCCCAAATTAGGGTTAAAAGGGTAGGAAGTAATCTAGAAACCTCTTACTTAAAGGATATCCTTACTCAAAGGATAGTTGAAGGGTCTGATACTGTAAAAGAGAAGGGAAAATATAGCCATTTCCAAATCCTTGAAAGTAGTCACGGGGAGCCATGCATTTATTCCATAAATATCCATTGAGCCTCTTCCAGGTGCCAAGAACTGAAACAGGCACCAAGAATACAGGGTGGATGAGTGGGGAAGAATTAGACTTCATCTGTTTAATTCCTAAGGGAGTACCAAAGATCAGTGAGAAGTTTGGAAAGATAGAGGTTGAATGCATTGTAAACAAGAAAGTCCACAATAGCCTTTCTTAAAGTTCATTTCATGGAACCCCAAAGATACATGGAGCATTTATTTATGTTACATAAAAAAAGAATTATGGGGCCAAATAAATTTAGAGAATCTTAATGAAGTTAACACTTTTTAAACTACAGCCCAGGACTTCTCAGGATCTTTAATACTGTGACTCTCCTAAAGAGCATATGATTCCTTTCCCCAAATCTTTTGGTTAAGAGGACTATTTTTCCAGACCTCGAATTCCATGGGATGAGCATCAAGAACAGTTATCCTCTCTTCATAATGGAAATGGTGACCAGCAACCATGGAAGCAGACAGTCACTGAGGACTGCACATTGGCACCACATGCCACAGATGCCCCAGTCTTCATTCTGAATCATATTGATTCATATCAATCCAGTCTTCTCACTTCATGCCCCTCACCTCATGGTTTTCCCAGTTACCAGTCTCAGCACTCAGTTACCCCCTTTCCACGCCTGCTTTGAATGTGGCCTTAAAGACTCATACCTTGTGTTTCTGCTTCTGCTTCTGGCTTGCACTCTGTGTAATAATGACTCTGGTTCTTTCCCTAAGCTTCCTGGGGCCACTCTGGGTAAGGCTCCACTGGTTCAACTCTTCCATCCAGCTCACTGTACATGGAGGAGAGAGACCCAGACAAGGAACAGACGGCTTCTTGTGTCAGGGATGCCATAAATGGGACGAGCTTGGGCTTACTGATTTGAAAAGTTTTTTCCTGTTACTTTCAGAGACTTCTTCAACAGGTCTGAGCTCCTATAATGTCCTATTTCTGGATATTATTTTAAATACTTCTAGTATCTGGGAAAGCAGCTATTTCTCTGCTTATCAGTTCTCATATGAAATGCAGATCTCTGCTGCACAATTGAGAAAACCTTCATATGATGAGTCAGAACCACTCACAAGGTCACTGGGCTTTGTTCTACCTTCAGCCTTACAAATAAAAACCTTTGAAGCCTTGCATGAAACTCCTGCAGGGAGAAACTCTTGTGACTTTAGACTATAGTCCTCCAAGCTTGTCAGATTTTTGTTCTCTTACCTTGTAACTTGGGTTCTCATTCCAAAATCCAGTGACCTCATTGATTGCAGCACTTCAATACAGCCCATGTACTGGAATAAGAGAAAAAAAAAAGAACAAGTAGGAAAAATGGCACAAAAATAGTTCTCAGCTTCAGAGGTGATTTCCTGGGAAACACCTAAATCAGTTCCTGATACCAAATTACATTTGCACATTCAGCCTACCATTGATATTTCTGACCATTAATGGACACATACCTTAAACTTCAGTTCAGTTACGAAACATCAGCTAAATCCAAACTATTAATATGGTTTTAGGAAAACGGCTGTCATCCCTGACAAATGTGAGCTCAGGGATATGAGAGCTTGGGCTCTGGGGCCAGCCTGTGTGAGCTGGAATCCTGGCTCTGCCAGTTATTAGTTATGGAACTTCAGCAAGTTACTCAACTTCTCTGCATCTCAGTTTTGCCACTAGCAACATAGGGATACAATTGTTGTGAGAGTTTAGTTACTTAATTATTTCCTAAGGTGTTCTAAGAGCAGCGCATGGTACACATGTGTGCTCAAATATTAGAGGAAGCAAAACTAAATGTGAGACAAATAATACAGAAGTATCAAGTATTCTAGGGAAATAAAATAAGCATATAAATGCAGTTAATCCCAAAGCTTAGTAACATAAGAAGATCCTACTTTTTGTAACCTCATTTGTTCAGAGGATTCAAGGAAAGAAAAAGTCAAGTCTTACAGCAGGAAGGAATAAATCTAGCTTGAACCTGGAGTATTGGAAAAGGCACTCAGGCTCATAAAGCTAAAAGACAGTTAGTTATATTTAATGTGGCAAAAGCGGGAGCCGTGTTAGGCTGGTGGAAAGAGAGGCGGGATTACTCTGTGTTTGAGGAGCCTAATGTCAGCAGCAGTGTGAAGGTGGGTTAACAGCAAGGGAGTAAGTGAGGATGCTCCTGTTGAGAAGTAACAAAAGCTCACCCCGAGGAGGATGGTGGGAAGGAGGGGACATATTCAAGTAACATCTCGGAAATAGATACTACACGATCCAGCAGTTGATTTGATCTAGAGAATAAGGATGAGTCAAGGATGACTCAGACGTTTCCAGCCAGGGTAGCAGGGGGAACAGTGATTCCACTAACAGAAACAAGAAAGCCAGAAGAGGGGAAGATGAGGTGATCTGGGACCTGTTCACTGAACGACGCTGGTGGGGTATCCAAGAAAGAGCGAGTTGAGAGTTAAAAACTGGATTCTGGAAACTTGGAGAGGCATTAAGCCTTGGGAGGCAGGCTTAGTAGTCACCCGTGTAGCTCTGCCCGGTGAGGCTGTGGGAGTAATCCTCTTAGCAGAGCCTCAGTTGATGAGGGAGAGTGTTTCTCTGAGAATGAGCTCGGAAATGCAACGAGAGCCAAGCGGTCTGACTGAAAGTGATCTGTCGGCTCCATGGAAATGATCTGCTTCCTGTTTAGTTTTCCCCTGGAAGCCTTCCAGCCTCCTGCTTGTGGAAAGATGGCGGGAGCTGGGGGTGCCTCCCCAGGCACTCTTGGAGTATTTCTCAGCAAATTTGTACCTTTCGCATCCTAAGAGCAGGTCAGTACACCAAGTGTTGTCTAGAGTCTCGTGTAGGGGAGAGTTGGCTGGTCAAGACAATTGCCCGGCCATTCTCAGCCAGATTCCTGTTCCTCACACCCTTCATGGGAGCTCGAACACTGACACCTAAGCCCTGTGTTTTCCGGCTCTCTCACCCTGCTCCTGTGCACTTCGCTGCCACACTGGCCTTCCTTCTATTCCTCAAATCCAGCCAACTCTTTCCAAACACAGGGCCTTTGCACGAGCTGTTCCATTGCTAGCTCTCCCTAGATCCTCCCCACTGCTCTGTAAGACTGACTCCTTTTTATCCTTCAGGTTTTAATTCAAATGTCACTGCCTCAGAGACCCTCCCCAGCACCCTTCATCACAGCCCCCCACTTGTCATCATGCCACTGACTAATAATCAAGTTTACTTGTTAACTTGCTTATTACCTGTCTTCATTCCCTTGACTGTAAGCATCATAAAAGCAAGGACCATAATCACCATGGAATTCCCAACACCCAGGGCAGTGCCTGGGACAGAAGGTACCCAATAAATACTGGATGAAAGAGTGGAAGAGGCTTCTACTCTTCAGCTCCAGCAGTAGTTTAAAATGCGCAGAGGGAGGTGAATTTCTGACTGTCCTCTCCATCCTGGAGGATGAGGAAGGAGTATAGCAGAATTAGGTTGCAGAAAGAGACTTGAGGGGAAGGTGGGGAGAAAGGGCCTGACTCCCCAGGTGTCCCAGGGGTGGGGAAAACCCTGAGTGCCAAAGCTGATGGGAGGGGGAAACGAGGCAAAGCAATGTAAGCTGGGGCAGAGATGCTCTGAGTCTCAACAGCTCAGGGAGGGAGGGTGTCAAACGGGGCAGCTCTCAGCCCAGTGATGTGAGTCACCGACTGTGGGATTTTGGTTAACAAGGGAAGAGGTTTTTAGTGGAGAGGAGGAGAGGAGGACAGGGAGAGAGGGAATCTTCCAAGCTTTGTGCTTCATTTTTAATTGGAGTTTAGTTGCTCTACAAAGTTCTGCTGTGCTCTACAAAGCTTCTGCTGTGCAGTAAAGTGAGCCAGCTATACATACACATCTACCCCCCCTTTTTTGGATTTCCTTCCCATTTAGCTTACCACAGAGCGCTGAATAAAGTCCCCTATGCTATACAGTAGGTTCTCACTAGTTATCTATTTTATCCATAGTTGCATATAAATGCAAGGTTTTGTTTTTAATCACACTTCATGGCGATAACCACCTCAGTCCCTTCCTTCTAAGGCAGCCCCAGGAGTTGTTTCCAAAACCCTCCCTTCACTGAAACCTCTGTTCAGCTTCACATACTTGTCTGTCAGCAATGGCACACCTTCTGCCGGCCTCGCTGCGGGAAACGTGAGTCACAGTCTGAGACGATCGTGACAGTGAGCACATTCCCCATCCACCCCAGGCACGTGAGGTGGAAGGCACTCAGGGCAACGTGAAGGGAGAAAATCAATGCCCGATTTTTTTTCCACAATGACTCTGAAGCCCCGATGCACCTGGTCTTCCCATTGACTCACTCAGTCCATTTCACTCTGAAACCATCGCTGTGAAGAAGCAAGGAGGGCACAGTGCATAAAAAGACTGTGTCTTTGTTTAGGTACCTGACTGAACAAGCGGAAAGTGGCTGGGTGTCCAGGCCTCAGGGAGGAGGAGTTTAGTTTGTTGATTTCAGTATAAACTAACCCTACCTCTCATTCATGTATTAAGTGTAGGTCTGCAAAGACAAGGTCTCTGTTCTCAAGAAACATAGCCCCATGAGGATAGGACAACCATGAAAGAGATGATTTATCTTTTCTCTCTATGAGGTTAGTCATGGTTAATTCCATTTAATAGATGAAGAAATTAAGCCCTATTAATGGGAAGTGGCTGGCTCAGTTTCACTTATTCAGTGAGACTGAATCAGGGCTTATTCTGGAGGCTGCAGTTCATTTCTGGGAACCTGTGTGTGAGCCTTGTGGGACGGGAAAATCTAACAGAGAGGAGGTCATCCAGCTGCCCCCTCTGCCTCCTCCTTTGGTCTTCCCAGGTGGGAAAGAAGGTGACCCACCTGGGGGCCCCGTGGTAAGAGTAGGCATGGATCCAAGCTCTTCCGGGGCCAGCAGGATGTGGCACCCGAGACAGAAGACACGCCCTAATACCTGACCCTGTGATGGGGAGAGGACACTGAAGACCTTTATTAAAGGTATCAGGGGTGGTAAGAATGTGACAGCGCTCAGACAACTTTCCATTCAGCACCTAACAGATGGCTCACCTAGATCCCAGCTCACGCACTCCCTTCTTGCCCCAGGGCAGTCATAATATTTTTGTACTGTCTGAGCTTCAACCATTTGTTTCTAGGGAGAGGTGAACAGTCTATTCATGCCCTGTGTATCTTGGACTTTGCATTCCAGAGAAGAAATTATTACTGGGGTTTTCAGAGACCAGGAATGAGAGCTGGCTTGTGGGAACTTTTCATCCTGACTCTTACAGAATGATGACCTTCAAAGATCTAAAGAAAAAGGACATATATTCTTATATCCTCAGAATGTCTGAAGGATACATATTACCTCTGGGAATGGGAGAAAGGCAAACTTTTACTTTTTACTTTACATTTTTGTATTGTGTGTGTTTGAAAAAATAAGTAAGTGGTATTATTTTAGAGTTTAAAAATTAAATAAAGTCTACCACTTAACCTCTTGGAATCACAATTAATTACCAAGTAAGGTTAAATCTCTTGTTTTTCAATGGCATTTTCCCTTCCTTAGAATGTGCCTGCCCTTGTGCTAGATGGTAGAAGCCACCAACATGGCCTAAAGACATTGCAGGATTTCTCTGTCACCTCTAAATAACATCTAATCTTTCCCATTAAAAACAGGGGAAGTGGGAAAAGGACAACCTTGAGACACTGTCTCCACTTCCTTACTTTCAATTCATGCTTCAACTCACTACAGTAGCTTCCAGTCTCAAGACTCTATTGAAACTTCCTGGGCAAACCAATGATCTTGTCCACTCCAGTGACCTGTTCACATGCTCTTCCCTTTCTTTCAAACCCCTCATCCAACCAGGGGCCAAATTCCATCAATTTAGTCATCTCTTGAATCTGCTCTAGTTTAGGCACACTCTATCTCTCAATTGCAATAGAGTGGACTCCCCAACATATGAATGTTTGATTTTCTCAGTTCAACTACTGTATCAACCCGGCCTGCAGAAAGTAAAAGATCAGTCCCTTTACTCAGCCCCTCAGCCCCCAACTCTACTACTCAAACCAGACGTGACTTCTGCCCCAAGGAAAAGGGACCTCTCTGCAAATTCAAACAGAGATGAAGCCATTGACTCTGAACTGAGCCTAGATGGACAGGTGTTATAGAGATTTCAGAGATTTCCCAGTGTATTCTTTATTCCACCTGATTTTCACCCTAGTGATGAATTTAGAACACAGCCCCTCTAAGAAGGAGTCTCTGGTGTCCCACCCTCTGAATCTGCCTTTCCCAGTGTAGCCAGCACCTTACTGAAA